CCGTCTGGAGCTGCAATCTAGGCGTCAGAGGCTGGAAAAGCTGGACATCCATCGTGGTGTGAGTAGACCACCGGCGGGTGGTAAGGCTGGCCCACAGTATCAATGCAGGCACTCGTTTGTCATTTAGGTGAGAAGCAATATTTTACAATCAATACAGAACTTAACAGGCAGCCAGTGTAAGGAGGATAAAATTGGAGTGATATGATCATATTTTCTAGACCTGGTAGGAACTCTGGCAGCGACATTTTGCACTAATTGAAGTTTATTAATAGAGGATGCTGGGCAACCAGCAAACAGAGCATTACAGTAATCCAGCCTAGAAGTCATCAAAGCATGCACTATCTTTTCTGTATCTGAGATGGATAGCATATTTCGTAACTTATATTTACTTAAATATTTCTCAGATGAAAGAAGGCAGTTGTTGTGACATGGAATGTATGCTTTTCAAAAGTTAAATTGCTGTCTAATATGACACCCAGATCTTTTATAGTAGAGCTAACGCTAACTTTGTATCCCTCTAATTGTAGGTCGATTTGTGATATCTGCTGTGTACAGGATTTAGGCCCAATAAGAATAATTTTGTTTTGTCTGAATTTAAAAGAAAAAAACTGTTGGTCATCCAGTCTTTAACATCTTAAATAAACTCAGTTAGCTTAGACAGTTCAGATGTCTCATCAGGTTTTGTTGATATATATATCTGACTATCATCTGCATAGCCGTGAAAGCTTACCCTGTGTCTTCTAATAATGTCTCCCAGGACTAGCATGTATGTTGTAAACAGCAAAGGGCCTAGAACTGATCCTTGAGGCACCCCATACTTTAATGGCCTGACTTGTGAAAGCTGTCCATTTATGTTTACAAACTGGTAACGGTCAGTTAACTATGACTTAAACCAGCAACTAATTATAGGCAAATTTCAAATCTTCCATCTACGTCTAAAATACTTGTAAAAGTAGTTTTTGCCTAATTATGCTCATTTTCTGCAGATGAACAATGTTCTTGAAGTGTTTCAGTCCGGTTTCAGAGCTCATCATAGTACAGAAACCGCACTAGTGAAAATAATCAATGAGTTAATCTTAACTGCTGACCAAGGGTGCATCTCGCTATTAGTTTTACTTGATCTCAGTGCTGCATTTGACACCATCGACCACAATACCCTCATAGACCGCTTAAATTCCACAGGTGTCCAGGGACAGGCTCTACAATGGGGTCCAGTTGTGAAATCTTAATAATAGGCTTAATAAGAGATAGCTTGAAAGGATTTAGAATATGGCCTTAAGATAAAGAAGAGTTGATAATGTTAAGAAGAGATTTTCCTTCTACAGGTAGCAACTCTTTCAGCAGTTTTGTTGGAATTGGGTCTAACATACATATAGCTGGTTTAGAACTATTTATAAGTTTATCTAGCTCTTCCTGTTCTGTGATTTTGAAGCATTGTAGGTTATTTTGGTTCAGTGGAATGTTTACTGGATCTGAAGTATAAGGCGGTACAGAAAGTTTAACAGCTTTTATTTGTATCTAATTTATCATCACTAATTTGCGGTGTGACATTTTGTTCCAAAGATGACCAATTATTTTTTAATTTAGCAATGGTGTTAAATAAAAATCTAGGATTATTATGATTATTTTCTATCAGTTTGCAGAGGTGCTTAGCCCTGGCGGATTTTTGAGGCCTCCTAAATCTGGACTATGTTTGTACGCAATTTTAAAGACCTCTAAATTATTTTTTTCCACTTGCACTTGCATTACTGTGATTTAAGAGGGACAAACAAGAGTCTATATGGCTAAAATGTGAATTCTCAGTTAACAAAACAAAATCTCCAGGATGCTTTCTGACTATCAGCATGGAAAAACCTAGGACGCTCTCAGAAAATTTTCCAGTTTTTGGCAAAGAGCAACTTCTGTTCTTTACACCATGTTAATAGCCATTCATTCAGAGCAAATAGTCTACTGCACCTTTTTATTTCCTCAGCGGTAAGTAGAAAGTGGTTCTGAAACTATGATCTGTGTGGTTGGCGAGGTGCGTCGAACCATCTCGATCAGGCTCCTGTAGTCCCTCATCAGGATCTCTGTCTGTTGCAGCCCGGTGTCGATCATCCCCATGTGGAATGGTTTTCCGTGGGGATCTCAAACCCAGGAGGAGGAGATGCTCTGCCCCGAGACCTGGTATGTACTTTACGCGGCTGCACCCAGGGGCCATGGTAGCCAGGTGCCAGAGTGAATGAACCCTGGACAAACTGCGTCCTCTGTGTGTTGGGCTTGGACAGAGAAACACGTGGGGATGAAGTGGACGAAGTGTTAAGATTGTATCGCACACTTACCTCAGATGAGCGAGCCTTAGCTTAAGATACATCGAGCAAGGCCCGTTGTTTCCAGAGCTGTGCTCTCTTCATCCTGAGTCGCGAATCTGGGTTTCCACTGCTTCCATCTCCAACGCCTCCACCAATGCTTCTCCTGCACCCAAGGATAAACACACAAGTGACATTGTAAGAAAGTAGAGCAAAGACAGTAAGTAAGACAGTAAGTGAAAGAAGTCGGTAGCTTTAGCTGACTAGCGGAGCTAGCAGGCTAAACCTAAGTGGTTGCATGAGAGACAGAACATTTTAAAGTAGATTTATTTGTATAAATGTATAAAGGGTTTGTTCACCTTTAGTAGGAAAGACAAATACTAGCGAATGGGGATGTATTTTATGATAAAAAAATGAAAATTGGGAATCTACGCAACAAAGCTCCAAACACATAACGAGTATGTGCCGAAAGTCTCAGTTGCAATTTCTTTTCAAATTTGATTTATTTTTTGTATTTCATTTGTTTGACTTCAGCTGATTTAGTTGATTGATTTTACTATTTTTTTAGTTTGATTTATATTTCACTGGACTGTTTATTTTTTACTTTGATTTTATTATGTATATTTTGGTTGAAATTATTTTATCTGAGTGGATTTTTGTTTGCTGTAATTTGTTTTATCTGATTATTTCTTTATTTATATCTTTTTAATATTTTACTATTTAGAATTTATTAGATTTTTTTATTTTTATTTGATATTTATATAACTAGTTTTGATCTTTTTCTGATCTGATTGTTTTGAACTCTGTAATAGTGATTCCATTTATATATATATATATATATATATATAGTTGAAGTCAGAATTATTAACCCCCCTGAATTATTAGCGCTCCTGTTTACTTTTTTCCCCAATTTATGTTTAATGGAGGAAAGATTTTTTCAGCACATTTCTAAACATAATATTTTTAATAACTTATTTCTAATAACTGATTTATTTTATCTTTGCCATGATGACAGTAAATAAACTTTTACTTGATGATTTTCAAGACACTTCTATACAGCTTAAAGTGACATTTAAAGGCTTAACTAGGTTAATTAGGTTAACTAGGCAGGTTAGAGTAATTAGGCAAGATATTGTACAATGATGGTTTGTTCTGTAGACTATTGAAAAAAAAATTAGCTTAAAGGGGCTAATAATATTACCATTTTAGGGTCAAAATTATTAGCCCGGCGACGCAGTGACTCAGTAGGTAGTGCTGTCGCCTCACAGCAAGAAGGTCGCTGGTTCGAGCCTTGGCTGGGTCAGTTTCTGTATGAAGTATCTGCCATGTTCTCCCTGCATTTGCGTGGGTTTCCTCCGGGTGCTCCGGTTTCCCCCACAGTCCAAAGACATGCGGTACAGGTGAATTGGGTAGGCTAAATTGTCCGTAGTGTATGAGTTAAAATGAGTGTGTGTGAATGTTTTCCAGAGATGGGTTGCGGCTGGAAGGGCATCCACTGCGTAAAATACATGCTGGATAAGTTGGCAGTTCATTCTGCTGTGGCGACCCCGGATTAATAAAGGGAGTAAGCCGAAAAGAAAATGAATGAATTAATTAATTATTAGCACTTTTAAGCTGTATTTTTTTCGATAGTCTACAGAACAAACCATCATTATACAATAACTTGCCTAATTACCCTAACCTGCCTTAACCTAGTTAAGCCTTTAAATGTCACTTTAAGCTGTATAGAAGTGTCTTGAAAAATATCTAGTCAAATATTATTAACTGTCATCATGACAAAGATAAAATAAAACAGTTAATTAGAAATGAGTTATTAAAACTATTATGTTTAGAAATGGGTTGAAAAAAATCTCTCAGTTAAACAGAAATTGGGGAAAAAATAAACAGGGGGCTAATAAGTCAGGGGAGCTAACAATTCTGACTTTAACTGTATATCTTTGATTTAGTTTGAGATTATTCGACTTGATTTATTTTCATTAGATAGTATTTCTTTTTTATATTTGTTTTCTTTTCTTGTCAAATCATTTAATTAAGAAAAACTTTTATTTTATTTTGATTAGCTTTTTTATAAAATTTGTTTTATTTTATGTGATTTTATTTGTTTTCATTTTATCTGATTTGATTTGACTAGATTTTTCTTAATTTGGATTTTTAAAATAATTTAATATTCACTTGCTATTTAGAATTGATTTGACGTGATTAAATGTTTTTGATTGGGTTAATTAGATTAATTTTATTTTAGTTTGATCAGATTTGACTTGATATATATATATATATTTTAACAGATTTTATTTTTATTTTATAGAGTTACATTTTTTAAATTTTATTTTATGGTTTAATTGCTTTATTTTTATGATTTTATTTATATGATTTTTAATTATTTTGTTTTACTTGATTATTTTATTTTCAAAATTTTTAATAGTTTTTTTATTTGACTTCTTTGTTTGGACTTTTTATTTGATTGTTTTTCATTTTTATTTGAGTTTATATTAATATTTTATTTAATTGTTTTATTGGATTTTTTGTTTAAATAAATTTTTGTTTTTTCTCATGTGATTTGATTAGTTTTTTAATTTGATTTGTAGCAATGTACATGTATGTTTGTGTAAGAATTTTTATTTGCTTTTGTTGATGATTTTATTTATTTATTTTTGTTCTTGTTGTTTTATATTTTGCTGTTGTTTTAAACTGTTTAGTTTTGCTAAAAATAAAATGACTCAAACCTGGATGAAAAAAGATATCAATTGATAAAAAATGTTTCTTGTTTAGTTTTAGTTGCAGAAGTTGGAAAGAAAAGTGGACTAGTAATTAAAATATTTGATGCTGTGGCTTTAATGACCTTTGAAATTCTGCCAACTTTACAATTCATGCTCCTGTTCTACACGTTTGGTTCTGTCAGAACAGGTGAGATTATATTCATGAAGATTTGAGCTCATTTGTTTGTGATTACGAGTTCTATAAAGGATGAAACCTGCAAAAACAAACAATAAATAAATCAACAAATTCCTGCATAAATAAATATATAAATAACAAATGGGTAAATAATTAAATAAATTACACAAATGTTGGGGGAATAAGTAAATGCTGAACTGAAAGTTGATTTCAATCGTTTAATCAGTTTTGAAAGTTTGTCCATGTGTACTTTTTCTAAGTCCATCATGCTAATAAGATTGTCTGTCAATCATCAGAAGGCAGTCTTTGTGTCATCACTGGTTGATTAAAGACATATCCCAGATAGCAGAGTGACAATGATTCACTGTTGCAATTCTATCAGAATCATCATTTTGGTTGAGGTGACAATATTTCAGCACACAAAACTAGCTAATAATAAACTTTAAATTTCAACATTAATCTTATGTTTGGATGATGTTTAAACACTTAATCAATGTTGGTTTCAGTGTAAAAAGTGATTTAATTTTGGTTGAATAAATGTTGATTTTGTAACTACTATTATCTATTTACCATTGTTGAATTAAAAATATTTTAGGGTGGTACCTGGCTAAAAATCAATGATGACTTAACATTGTTTCAGTGATAGTTTGGTTGATGTTTACCATGTATTCAATGTTGATTTAACTTAGGTCTGCTATCTGGGATGTCTTAAAATGAGAGTGAACTGTTGGGTCCACAGCCACATCAAAAGTAACTGCTAACTGACCGAAAGAGAGTACACTTGAATCTACTCGGAATAAAATATAATCAGCTAGTAGTCTGCTGGTAATTTGAACAGTGTCAGCTAGCCTTCTCAAGTTTCTGGCAGCTGTTAGCATGTTGACCTCACTCATCTCAAACAATGCTAACGATCAAACAATTATGGCATAAAAACCCCTTTCTGATGATGGACAGAGACAGACACCCGTTCATTAGTGGAGAACATGAGTCTGATTCCAGCGACGCTCCAGGGACAGACGAGTCTTCGCTGAGGCCATCTTCCAGCCTAAACCACGGCGAATGAAGCTCTGCACAAGACTTTTGGCCAGCGGAGAAATTAAAATGGTCGTGCCCAACTGAGTCTGGTTCTCAAGGTTTTTTTTCTTCACTCCCATCAGGTGAAGTTTTTTTTCCCTCTCCGCTGTTGCCACTGCCTCGCATGGTTCAGGATTGGTAGAGCTACGCATCGATGAATTGGCTCTTCAGTGTTTGAACTCTCAGTAATGATTAAATCACACTGAACTGAGCTAAACTGAACTGAACTTAAACACTAAAACCTGAACCACACTGTTCCAGTTACTATGACCATTTATGTGAAGCTGCTTTGACACAATCTACATTGTAAAAGCGCTATACAAATAAAGCTGAATTGAATTGAATTAGCATGTTGAGAGGAGGGGGAAATGGGTGGGTGGTGGTGGGGGGTTAACTTACATTTTACATTTTTGGCATTTATTTTATTATTTATCTACTGCATTGTTAATTAATTACTTATGCAGGAATTTGTGAATGTATATATTTATTTTATTTGTGTTTTTATGTATATACTTATTGTTTTTACAGGTTTGGTCCTCCATATAGTTCAGATCATCACATTTAAACATTTATTTATTCTTGTCGTTTTAACACAATTATTATTGACTGAGATTAAAATTAGCTGTTTATTCATGATTTACTGTAATCTATGAATCTTTTAATCAATTATAATATCCAGCATTAATATGTTTACTTTCTTCTTTCTAGGACTTATCGTTGTTATCATTTTACCACTGTTAATGATGATGATGAATGAGAGAATGTTTGTTATATTCAAATTTAGACTTGAGTGTAAGTATTTGATAATTTCTGCTCTGATCTGTTTTCCTTCTTCATTTTCTGTTTTGTTGATGATCAGAGGTTTAGAGTGGGGGTCTCAAACTAAAATGGGGGGGGGGGCATATCAGTGACTGACAATTTAAAGGAGGGCCGCTTTAACATATTAATGATGTTTAAAAGAGAAAGGAAACTTTCACAGTATGTCTGATCATATTTTTTCCTCTGGAAAAAGTCTTATTCGTTTTATTTCAGCTAGAATAAAAGTTTTTAATTAAAAAAAACATTTTTGGGATATATATATATATATATATATATATATACACACACATTTATTTATTTATTTTTTATATATATATATAACTCATTTTCCTTACTTTAACATTTTCAATTCAGCCAGCAGTCAAATTTTGAGAGGGGTCTGGATGCAGACCTGGTGCAGTGCAATCTGAGCTGCATCCAATGCTTTTAATAGGCTCTGGTTACTAAAATAAACCTCGTTTCCGTAGGGGCAAATGTAAATGCTATGAGGAAACTATGAGGATTTCGTCAGAATCTAATCATCTGAAAGAGTATGTAAACAGACCAATTAAATACCAATGAATTGGTAGCGTCAGCATGTACAGCTGGCGCTACATACAATCAATTTGGAAATATAAGCACAAAGCGTGCCAAGCTGAGCATTCCGCTATAGGAAAATGGATAGTAAATGCCACAATGATGATTGAACCTTACCTTGCCCCTGATGAGAGGTTACGCCAAGCCAAGAGCATTAGCGCACCTGCTTCAACCCCTCACAGATTAAAAAGTCTCGCAAATGTATTAGGTGTTGCCCAGCCAGGCCAGCTCTACAATGTCTGTTAGAGAGGCGCTGCGTGCTAACGTCCAAAAGGATGCGTGCTCCGAGTGGAGTTTGCTCCCACTCCTGGGGGACACGGCTCGTCCTGGCTGAGATAAGTATCCACTTATTTTGATGGCATCCACTGTTCAGTGGGTATGTTCCAACCTCTATTGGGATACGGCACTTCCCATCTGCTGATCACCGTAGCAGATATAAAGTTGCTCAGAGGATCTAAAAGCTCTGAGTATAGTCCCTATAAGTCTTAAAGTGCTGCCAGGACACAGCAATAAAGGGGCTGGGTCTGCCTCCTCCGTGGACAGTGCTTGCAAGTTTACTACGTAGTCAAAACAGAACATTGTAGGAACCTCGGGCACCTCGGTGGGCCAGGGTCGCAGGAAAAATGTGAGAGTGGGCCGGCCCAAAAAGCTGGCATATTTTGCTGACCGAAAATGCCTTCAGATACCCGCCCATTTGACCGATGCCAACGAAACCAGCAGAGCTGTCTAACTGGACAGAAATTTTAAAGATCGAGTCGAGTGATCAAGCAAACCTTTCCTAAGAGAGATCTCCAAGTGGGTATGAGTGGGGAACAGGATAGAATTAATATTCACGTCTTTCGCCTCTGGGAACTCGATGATGAGGCGATGCTTTCCCAGCGCACCACCATTGCCACGTCCTCAGAGTGCAGATGATCGTAACACCAACCCCTCAGTGCAGAGGGGACAGCCTTAGCTCCTGCCAACTGAAGGAGGATAGCATCGGACTGATCTGGCATGTTCGGGGTCCTTCTCTGGGAAAAAGTATACCACACAGCAAGTAGACTCCAATTGAGGTCGTAGGCATGCCTTGTAGAAGGTGCTCTTGCCTGAGTTACGCCATTAACCACCTAATTGTTAGGTCACCTAAGTCCCTCACACTCCAACTATGGACCACACATGAGGTTTCATAGATCTAGGCGCGGGTGCCAAACGGTGCCTGTCCCAGAGAAGAAGCTTCTTCCAGGGGATGTGCCAGGGAGGGACTGAAATGCAGGTCCGATTGAGCCAGAGAGGTGCAATACATAGACCTGTTTCTCATCCTCCCTGACTTTACATAATATTTGTGCGAGTAAGCTCACTGGAGAAATGCGTATTACGCGCCCCGGGGCCAGCTGTGTAACCAATAGAACTCTCCAGGATTTGTCAAGTGGGGAATTCAAGCGAGACAGCGCATGTATCTATGTGTTAGAGAGAAATGCGCAGGGGTTGTCGAGTCTCCATTTTCCCAGGTGAAACTGCCGTGAGAGCTAATCGGCTGAATGGTTGAGTTGGTGGGGAAAAATGGAATGCAGCGATTCTGCCACGTATGACTCAGGGGGAGCAGACGGCGAGCGAGTTGAGACACGCAGCAATGGCAGATACTGCTCGTACGGTTGATATATGCCAACGTCGCTGTGCTGTCCGTCCCGACCAGCACGTGTTTCCCCTCTAGCACCAGTAAAAAACGGCGCAGTGCGAGATACACTGCCAACAGCTCCAGGTGATTAAAATGCCAATGCAACCAGGTTCTTACCACAGACCCACAGTTGCATGCCCACACCTCACGGCCCCCTAGCACAACTGGAAATATCCGTTGAAACGATGACATGCCGGGACATTTGTTTTAGAGGTACACAGGCCTGTAGAAACGCAAAGTCCGGGCTATTAGAGAAGGAGTGACGCCATGGTGATTAAGTCCAGCTCCATCCCGAGAAAAGAGATGTTCTGCACGGGGGCAAGTTTGCTCTTTTCTCTGTTGACCTGAAGCCCCAATAGGTCGAGATGCCGAAGCACCCTGTCTTCGCCTTTCAGCTTGAAGTGTCGGGCCATATTGCCACAGGCTTCCAGGGTGCAAGAGAATGGTCTCCTTTCTCTCACTCCAGCCCCATTGCGGGATCTAGGGAGGAAGGTAAGAGGCAATCTCATTTTTTCAGCTCTTCCTCAGGCCACTCTGCTTACCGGGGCAGGAGCAGTCCGCTCCTGAGCTGCCCCTCGGCTGGCACGTCAGTGATCGCTTTGATGGTGCGATTAGTGCAAGCTCTTCCAGCCTAGTTAGCACTGCCCAGTCCGTCGTGATGGTTCATGCCAATGATCAGATCAAGCTATGAATGCCCCTGTTTTGTTAGAGGACTTCATTGTGCTCAAAAAGAGCTAGGTTAAAACCAATTCTAGATCTACACAAACTGAACTGTTATTTACACAAAATGTTGTTCAAGATGTTCACACAGAAATGCATAATCCAGTGCCTCCATCCTCCATTGGTTTGCAGTTATAGATCTGAAGAACACATACTTTCATGTCTCCATTCTTCCATGCCACCATCCTTTTCTCCGGTTTGTGTTTGAAGGTTGAGCATGGCAATGCTCCTCACCTTCAGGCTGTCCCTGTCTCTGCGGGTTTTTACCAAGCTTGCGGAGGGTGCCCTTGTGCCTTCACATCGCTGGAATATGCATACTCAATTATCTCGCTCATATTGGCTTCGTCCTGGGATCAATTGATTAAGCACAGGGACTAGGTACTTCGGCATCTTCACCAGTTGGGGCTTTGGGTCAACCGAGAGAAGAGAATCTCCTATCTTGCGATGGAGATAGATTTGATCTCCATGGTAGATCCTCCTCTCTGAAAAGCATGCCAGGCTGGTGCTATCCTGTCTAAGTTCACTCGATGGGAAAACAGTGGTACCACTGAAAACTTTTCAGAAGCTCTTGGGGCATATGGCATCTGCAGCCACTATCACATTGCTCAGATTGCTCCATATAAGACCACTTCAGCGCTGGCTTCACGATCGGGTCCCTAGAAGAGCATGGCACACGGGCACACACTGGGTGTAAATCACTCAACTGTGTCGCCGCACCTTCAGCCCTTGGACAGATCTTGCTTTTCTATGGGCCAGTGTGTCCCTAGAACAAGTATGCAGGCATGTTGTTGTATCGACGGATGCCTCCGACACAGGCTTGGGGGCCATGTGCAATGAGCATAAAGCTGAACGTTCGTGGACCAGACCCCGGATTCATTGGCACATCAACTGCCTAGAGCTGTTGGCAGTGTTTCTCGATCTCTGCTTTTTTTTTAAATTTTTTTACCAGTTTTAGAGCAGAAACGTGCTTGTCAGGACGAACAGCAAGGCAACGGTGGCATATGTCAACCATATGGGGGTATACGCTCCTGTCGCATGTCTCGGCTCAGTGACTGTCTACTCCTCTTGAGTCGCACATGGCTGAAGTCACGGCGTGCCATTCACGTTCCAGGCAAGCTCAACCATGCAGCTGATGCACTCTCATGGCAGTTAGTGTCTCGATAAGAATGAAGACTCCAGCGGTTCAGCTGATATGGGATCGATTAGGGGAAGCCCAGGTTGACCATTGCCTATTGTTTTACTCCCTGACCGAGGCCCACCTGGGCACGGATACACTGGCAAACATGTGTTTTCCCCAATGAGCCTACTTGCACAGACACTGTGCAAAGTCAGGCAGTACGAGCAGCAAGTGTTGTTAGTTGCACCCCTCTAGCCCAACCAGACCTGCGTTTCTGAACTCACACTCCTTGCGACAGCCCCTCTCTAACATGTTCCCTTGAGAGAGGACCTTCTCTCCCAGAGACGGCGCACCCTCTGGCACCTGCGCCAAGATCTCTGAAGCTTCCACTTGTGGTACATCGATGGAGCACAGAAAACTTAGACACTTAGCAGCTTCGGTGGTTATCACCATCACTCAGGCAAGAGGACCCTCTACGAGGCTTGCCTACACCCTGAAGTAGAGTCTTTTCGCTGAGTGGTGCGCTTGTGTTATCATTCCTTCAGGATAAGCTGGCACACATGCCCTCTTGAGATCTCTCTGTAATCCTAGCAGAGGCAGACCCAGCCCTTTTACTGCTTTGTCCTGTTTGCACTTTTCACCTTTACATGGAATGAATGCAAAATGTAAGATCTTGTGAACAGCTCTTTAACTGTTATGGTGGTTGGGAGAAGGGAAGTGCCATATTAAAACAGAGGTTGGCCCACTGGTTAGTAGATACTATTGCCCTCGCTTATCAGTGCCAGGATGAGCCGGTCCCTAAGAAGAGGAGTCAGGTGCTTGGCCCAGTATGATGTCTGGTATGCCTGTTTGGTCTACCCACATCCCAGGCTTCAGTGCCAGCTTTGAGTGGTCCCCAATGGCGATCCCATATCCATATTTTAGCCACGGAGTGTTCCCCCTTCCCAGGCGTACCCGTGTCTTTCCTACCCGCTAACCAGCTCATCATATGTAGCACTCCCACTCCATAGGGCTAGTCCATATGTTCCTACTGCCATTAAGTCTCCCCTCTTGGGTAGCAGGTGGCTTTTGCAGCGTCCTCCAACTTTGGGGACTGCCATACTTTCCCAACGTACTGTCATAATTCCAAAATTCCTAGACTGTATTAGCTAGATAAAACCACATTTTTGACCCCAATCTAAATTCTTCTAAATGATTCCCATGTAATGGTAATTAAGGGGTCTAGAGTATGTTGGAAGGTTGTACCATTGGTAATGTTTGTGCGCTCATGCTACGCTTGGCAAACTTCACATCAGGGGCGTGACAGGCTTAGCTGCTGTGTTTCCATACAGTCTCCCATAGTGTGAATGGGAACATCTTGGTTTAGAAAGTTACTCTCGGAAAATGCTATGTTCCCTTACCACAGCGATTGCCCCATAGCTGTTAGCCGTAAAAGGCTCTTTCAGCAAGCAAAGCGTGAGCACGAGCGGCGTCTTCATACAATACTGATTGTAATTGACGCCAGTTGTGCACGCTGATGCTGCCAACTCATTGGCATTTCATTGGTCTGTTTTATTACTTTTTCAGATGATTGATGATTGGCTTCAGACAAAATCATAGTGGAAGTTTTCTAAATAGCATTTCTGTTCCCTCTCTCGGGAAACAAGGGTTACTGTACTAATCGTTGCATTACGTTCATATCCGAGACGTTTTATCATGTAATCATTAATTATTAAAGAACTGACGTTATGTTCCTTTTTTCACAGATGTTTAATGCACTTATCGACACAGATGCCGACATCAACACTGTAGAACTGTATAAATGATTACAATAACAGATTTGATAAATAACATCAGATTCATTCACATACATAAGAATTAAGCATACAACTTTAAAGTAATTAATGAACAAAAATACATTCACATACCACTTTGCCTGCTTGTAAACTAAGAGAGGAGGGATACATCCTTCGAATTCTTGATTATAGCACTTATAACTTACAAAAGAAACGTCCTTAAATCTTGCCGTTACTTTCCTCTTTCACTTTCATGCGAGTGCCCAACCCGGAAGTAGTATTGTTGCTGGGCAAGATGGGAATGAAATTTAAAAAAAACTTTTGCTCAAATAAACCATAGATCGGTAAATAAGTCAACAATAAGCATTTTAAAATTATGAAAAATCGAAAATTGTTCATATTAAACTAATCACAAGTTATTGAAGAAAACACGTTTAAAGTACACTAGCGCCATCTAGTCGAAACAAAATGTCACTCCTTTATGATAGCAGTTACAGACGTAACTTGTGTTTTTCAGTGAAATATTCAGATCATGATTACCAGTCTGATATTTAGTTAGTTTTTTTGTAACTTTATCACTTATGTTCAGGCAGATGCATTAAAATTCAATCACATATCTGTTACTGTAATCATATTTATTCTTTCTGTCTCTGCTGTTTTTCTTTCTGTCTCTGCTGGTTTGAGTTTAACCCCAAAAATGATTAATTTGATTCTTCACTGTTTGAATCTTAATGATCTTTAATTGTTCAGATGTTTCTGTGTTTTCTGATCTGTTTCTTTTACGTAGTTTAACCTGATCAGCTCTTATATTTCTGCTAGCATTAAAGTGTTCTTCAAGATTGTCACTCTCGTCTTTTACAGGTTCAGAATCAATCATGAGGGCAGTGATGTTAACCTTGACAATAGTGACAAATGCAGTGATGATCGGTTTTTACATTTTCAGTCTGGATGATAAAACGGGTACAGTAATATGTTTAATAATTTTTATAGCACTTCACTGATCCAGCAAATCTAACTTATCTGTTTTCATACTGATGTCACTGCTTTCTCACAACACATCATAAACACTAGCTTAAATCTGTCCACCAGTTTGACCAAACATCAAACCCTGAGGTGAAAATCTAAATGTTTTGATCACAAACTTTTTTGTTTTGTCTAAGCCAGACTATGGCCTCGGATGAAAAACAAAACCTACAAATACACAAACCACTTTACTGAAGAAAACAGCAGTGAGGTCAAAAACACTGTTACTGTAAACTCTTTGAAGGAAAAGTGAAAACACAAAGAGCTTTAAGAAAGTATTTTAATCACACTAATAAAATATCATCTACACTTTTCAATAGAAACACTTTAAACTGTACAAACTGTATAAACTGCTACAAAACACGATATGATATCAAGTACTGTAGTAAAACAGAGAATCTCTGCCACAAAACACAGTCATGACCTTCAGAAATGTTTTGTTTGAAATTAAATAAATGTAATAAAAATGTAACCTAAATGTTAATCAAAGGCGGCAACACCAAGGCTCCAAAATCCAAATTTAATAAATAATTTTTAAAAATAAATTTTTAATAAAAATGTAACCTGAAATACAATGCCTTTAATATAAATTCCAAAATCTGTGCGTGTGTATTACATCCACTAGGTGTGCGATGCAATGAAATAGGAAAGATTCCTATTCATCAGAAACAAAATGAGAAAAAAATGCAATAAATAAGGGTTATTTTATTGACAGGAAATAAAAGCCAATAATGCATAAAAAAAAATTTAACACCTCTGAGAGACGACCAAAAATAACAAACAAAAAATGTATATAATTTGTTGGCAGTGATTTTCAATGGTAAAAAAGTGTAAAAATGCAACAATAAGTCAGCGCAATAGCGCTGTTAGTGTTAGTGCGCTGTGCACTTCAGAGCACCCCGAGTTGCCGCCCCTACCCCCTCTCTCTCTACCACTTAGTTTTCTGTCTAAAATACTGTCCTATCCTCTCAATAAAGGGAAAAATAAATCTTGAACAAAAACAAAATGCTACAGTGAGAATCTGTGGTCTGGAGATTTATGATCCTGCTTTAATAGGATTGCATTATCGGTGGCAGTTTCTTGACTTTATTAAAGTTTATTAAAGATTAGATTTGGCTTGATTTGAGTTAAACAGAACTGAATTTTCTATTTGTTTTGATCTAACCTGATATGCTTATTTGATTTTGATTTCTTTAGTTTATTTTGAATCAGTATAATATTGATTATTTTTAAACATATTTAAAAAATATTTTATTTCATTTTCACTAAATATTTTATTTAATTAGATTTTATTGACCTGATAATTTATTTCAGATTGAATATTATTTTATTTGATTTTGTATGCGAGACAGATTTCTTTGAACTTCATTTGACTTGATCATTTGTTAAATCTTTAATTCTATTTTAACTGATTTCAATTATGATTGATTTTATTTAGTGTAAATTGGTTCGATTTGACTCCATTTTACTTTTTTTGAATATTTAAATGTTTGTTTTCAATTGATTTGGTTTAAATAAATTGACTTAATCTTTTAAAGTTCTAACTACAAAACGAGCACTACATAAGAACCTATGCACTAGTAAAGCAGAAGCGGCTTTGGCAAGAAAAAAATTATTACTATTATGGATTTGGCAATAAAACAAGTAAATTACCTGCCTGGCAGATTAAAAAAGAAGACACTGAAAAATATATTCACTATATTAAAGCAGATAATGGTAAATGTTTAGAAGGTTCCTAAAGAAATTAATTTGGAATTTTAAAAATATTATCAAGCACTGTATAAAAGTGATTTTGAAAATGAAAATGTTTACACTGAAAAAAATTCCTTTTTGGATAAATTGCCTAAATTAAATATACTATTCTGGAATATCTGAGGATGAGGTTAGTACAGCTATTAAATCTTTACAGAATAACAAATCACCTGGAACAGATGGATTTCCAATCGAATACATTAAAGTATTTTCTAAAAAGCTACTGGCCCCTTTAACCAAAGTGATCAGAGAGTCATTAGATAATCAAGTATTACCGCAATCACTGGAGCTTGTGATAATAACTCTGCTACTTATACCAGGTAAAAACTAGAAAATGTCATCTCCAAAATTATTAATTCAGACCAAACTGGATTTATCAAAAACAGATAAAGAGCAGACAATGATCGAAAACTCATGTGAATAATATTGCCTAGAAACGATTTGATCAATGGATGCTGAGAAGCATTGACAGAACCAAAGTTCCCCATATGCACTTTAAAAGCTATGAACTTTGGGGATACGTTCAGTCAATGTATCAAAACAATTTTTAAGGCTCAATTTTGACTAATGAAATGTTGTTGGATGCCTTTTCATTCCACAGAGGTTGCAGGTTGCTCGGATCCTTCAATTTTGGGTAACTTATGGAATAGACGAGCATAAACTGTGTATGCAGATGACTTTTAACTATTCCTAACTAACCCAATTGTCTGAATGAATAAAGTGCAGTAGCTGGCTATAAGTTAAATTACTTAAATAGTTAGGCATTTCCATGTAATATACTGAACAAGGACATTGAGATTCTGGGTATGGGTACATAGTTTTGGTATAAACAATAGCTAACTGGCGCTAATTGGGCAAACGAGACAGGTTCGGAAACAAAAGTCTAGGTGTGAAAGCACCCTTATTCATACCTGTTAACCCCTCCGTTTTTCCAGGGATTCTCCCGTATTTTACAGTTCTATCCCGCTATCATCCTGTAAAGGTATTTCTCCCGTATTTCTCCCGTATTTTCTTTCTCTGAACACCCGAGCCTCCCTATACGCAACCCATACTGCCGAACCACCAGGGGTCGCCCCTTGCTCTAAAACGGGAGTCTTCTGTGCTTTCACTTTGTTTAGGAATGAAAACACTTTAAAAAAAAAATATTAAAAACGGCGCGATTCCATTTTTTTTAATGGATTCTGTACACGCGATTTGAAAGTCTGGCTTTTGGTTGCGTGTTTAAACAGACATATACACATAATTCATAAAAATAACATACAAGGATGTCGATCTTGGTAGGGATTTTTTCCAAACACAATTAATTTCGTCTTAAATGAGCATAAAAAGTTAGGAAAGTAGTCGAATACTTTCATTATAACGTTAGATGTGTGCATTTTTAAAGTGACACCTCTTATTTAATGTAATAAAAAAATCTAAATAAATGAGAGATTCATTCGCAGCTCTTTAATCAGAATGTGTTCGTTATACAGTGTAGAAACGGCTAATGAGATTGATAACTTGATTCTATTTCATTATTGGAGCTATTAATTTTAATAAGCTGATGTATTTGCTGCTAATATATATATATATATTTATATAATAATAATTTTAATAATAATAATAATAATTTATATTTATATAGCGCCTTTCCAGAGGTCAAGGACACTTTACAAGGAATGCAACAAAAAGATAAACAAACATACATGGAGTCAAATATAACAAACTGGAATTACACAAACATTGGACAAAAACTGGAGACATATGAGCAGAGCGGAGGTGGATCAGATAAAGTAGTCAGTTTGGCAGATCAGAAGCGAAGCATTCAGAAAATAAGTGAGTCTTAAGTAAGGATTTGAATTCAGAGATATTATTAGCAGAGCGGAGTGAGCTTGGTAGAGAGTTCCAGAGTTTGGGTGCAATAACACTAAATGATCTGCCCCCATTGAAGAGAGGCGGTACCGAGGGACAGCGAGAAGGCCAGAGTCAGCAGAACGTAAAGAGCGAGTTGGGGTGTAGAGGACAAGCATGTTGCAGAGATAGGAGGGTGCAAGGTTATTTAAGGATCTAAATGCAAGGAGGAAAATTTTGAATTTAACGCGGTATGCAACCAGGTGCCAACGGAGATCGTACAAGATTGGGGTTATGTGAGCAGAACGTTTGGTATGAGTGAGTATTCTAGCTGCAGAGTTTTGAATATACTGTAATCTGGAGATGAGGCTGGCAGGCAGGCCAATGAAAAGAGCATTACAGTAGTCGATGCGTGAGGAGACAAATGCATGGATGACAGTCTCAGCATCCTTGCTACTGATGAAGTAGCAAAACGTATTTGAAATTTATTACTGACCATTTAATTGTTTATTTACAATGGCACAGCTCCAAATGAACATATTTAGGAATTTGGGGATTTTTTTAAGGGGGGTGTTGGGGTAATCCCTTATTATGGTGGACATATCCCTTATTTTCACATCCCAATGTTGACAGGTATGCCCTTATTTTTACTTATTATTTTTTTTTTTTTATAATTTATTTATTTATTTTGTATTGATTTCACTTGACAGAGAACCTTATGTGGGGTCCTATGTATGCAACTGTTAATTGTTTTTTTTTTTTTTTAATCGTGTCTAGTATTTTTACAGGCTTTAATTTTTTCCAGCGACAAGAGTTGAGAGTAGAGTTGTTTTTGGCATACAGAATAAAGCTGCTAAGCTTGTGGAAGACAAATCTCTTTATAAAATCTCCTCAGTGAATACATGATGGAGAACTGATTGTGCTTTACTCTCTTCATTGTACAGATGCTGTTGGATGGGGCTGTGTGCTTGTGCTTCTGCAGATACTGTGGATTATTATTAAGTTCACAGATATTACTTTTTCTGACTCGATTAGATTATCTAGAGGTACAGTATTGATCAAATACTTCAATTTTTTTTTATAGTTTTCAACCATGACTGCATGTACAATTTAATACCTGGAAAACTGCATCTTGTTGTTTAAGGTAGAAATGTTGTGAGCCTATGTGACGTTTTCCGTTACACTAATCTCATGAAACCAATAATTATCAGATCATATTTTATAGTTTTACTTTGTTACAATATAAAATCTGAATAATTGATATAGAGACATTACTCATATGCAGGGCCAGACAGAATCTGTGGATGTTTTTGGTAAAAATCTGCGTATTTCTGTGGAATTATTTTGGGAGTATCTAGTGGGGTATCATAACTAAAACCTTAATATATTAAATAAAAAGTAATAAATTACTGAATAAAAACTGAATATATTCAGATTTACACATTTACTCAAGTAAATAAACAGAATTAATAATGGGCTAAAAATCTGCAGAACTCTGCGGAATTCTGCGTGCGCAGATCCCGTGTGGGCCTACTCATATGCGATGGAAAATTATAAAGAGTTGAAAGCTACCGTATCAAACTACAAACATGACAAGCTAACTGGACAAACTGGTTAGAGTGGGACAGCCGTCCACACGAAGGTACCTCTGTACGTAATTTGCGGTCTCCAGAAACATGGGACTACGTTTTCAGATTTAGCCTATGAATGAGCCTGTGTTGACCTTAACAGATTTTTTTTAAGTACATTAAAACAATAATTGAGCTTTTAATCCGAAGTTCATATTAGATGTTTAATCTTGTATTACAGGTTTTCCTCGTGTTGTTGCTGTGTATGTGTTTGGATCAGTTGGTATTGTTTTACTGAATTCTGTTACTCTGATGACTGAACTGATATTGAAAACAGGTGAGAGAACATCTTACACTTTAATATACAGTACTTTACGCTATTAATTTATGAGAAATATTATCATTATCTGTAATGATCAAAGTAAATCTATACTTCAAAGCTTAAAGTGTCTTATCAAGGACACTATCAGAACTACTAAAAAGTTTCCAGAAACAACCTTCTCAAACTTCTTTTAAAGGGCAACTAGTAAAAAAAAAAAAAAAGCTGAAAGTTTCAGCTCAAAACCCCCATCAGATTATTTAATATACCTTTCTGAAGTTTGTGAGTTTGAGCTCTAAGCACCTTGTTGCTGTTTTTTTGGACTGTACCTTTAATGCTAGTCCTCCCCGCCCACCATTTCCACATGCCTGTCAGTGTGCCTCAGTCTCCGCCTCCGGCTGCATCAGACAGACATAAAGGAAGATCTCACGTAACGTTTGTGAGAAATACTTCAGTAAGAACTTTCCCAATGATTATTTGATGCATTTGTTGTAGAGTTGCAACGATGAGTCACACACAAAGACAGGGCCGGAGTAGCACTCCTTTCAGTCCTGGAGTTTCAAGCCAAAAAACGGACCGGCCCACCGGGAATTCTCCCGGTCCTCCCGATTAGCAAATCCGGGCCTGCACAAAGTCATTACAAAGTTAACGCACAGACACACACAGACAGCGTGCGCGTTCATGTTAATATCCACTGCTGTATGGATATCTGTTATGTTAATGTATATAATAAACCTGGATTTAATGTCCACAAATCAGGATTGAAGCGTATTGTTTTAGAATTCTACTGACGCAGCTGTGGTGATGAAGTAAAGCTGAAGTTAATCGCTGTAATTCATTACACACATGCATTGTTTTGAAAATATTTTAGACTATAAACAATATAAAACTCACTCTTGATCACATTTGATGATGGTTGATGATCACAAAGAGCTGAACAGATCTTTTAATCCCGGTTGCTTTGCGCACATCCTGTCTTGTTGATATGATTTATAAGAATGCATATAAGCTGCATTTCTCCTCCTAACCAGAAGGAGGTGCTCCTGTCTTCTCAAAAAAACAGTCTCCAGTTTTAACGCTTCCTCCGGAACAGTGGATGGCACCACTTAACCGCCATCTGTTGTGTGCCACCACTTAATCATGATTAGCAATACCTGTGTTTTGCCCTATAAAATGGTGTGTATTACAAGCTAGTGTGTTCAGTCTTGCCCGGTGTTCTGATCCTCTAGAGAAGCTAAGTTACTCTTTATTGTTGTATTTCTTGACCCTTGTGTCTGATTTGTTTTGCCTGTTTACTCGGAGCTCAGCTTCAGTCATTTCTGTTGTACTTTGTATTCTATTTTTCAAGTAAAGATCATTTGTTTGTTTTTCTGAAACTACAGCCTCAAATTTTCTTAATCGGAGACATGTTAATACGCGACTGTCAATTAATTCGGTGGGCGGGGAAACCACACTTATAGGTCAAGATGCGGTCGGCCTCAAAATGTGAGGAATTTGGATGCTATTTTAACTCAGAAAATTTTAAAAAGGGACCTATTGTATTTATATTACCCCAATATGACTGTGGATCAACTATACCTACACACATTTCTGTCTAAACAGCTTACAAAAAAGATTTTCACCATAGGTGCCCTTTAATAAAGTTATGGGAATTCTGTTATCCTGGAGTAATAGTGATATTTTAATCATTTCTCACAACAGTGATAATATTTAAAATATTTTTGACAGTTTTCTACTTCTTTTTTTCCAGTGACTGGTGTTCGATCAATTGCAGATCTGAGGTTCATTGCATTCCTTTCTGAATGTTTGTTTGCTTTAATTCTACTGATTTCTGGATTATTTCCATCAAGTGAGTAAAAACAGGAATTATTTGAATTTTTTTTTTCCATCATATGAGCTGGTCTTCTCATGATTATTACACATTGGGATATTAATCAAATAATGTGCAAACTTTTTATACATCTATAAAAAAAACTATTTAATTATTTGTTTTCTTTTTCTGTTTCCTTTTTTTCTTAATCTCTTCAGTCTTCTCTTTGTTTTTCCAAATTATTGCATGGATTGCACACACACACACACACACACACACACACACACTCGCACATATTTTAATTCAAGGGCGTCACAGTGGAGCAGTTTGGTGGGTAGCACAATCGCCTTACAGCAAGAAGGTCTCAGCTGGGTCAGATGGCATTTCTGTATGGAGTTTGCATGTTCTCCCCGTGTTTGCGTGGGTTTCCTTTAGGTGCTCTGGTTTCCCCCACAGTCCAAACACATACGCTGTAGGTGGATTAAATAGGTGGAGTAAATAAGCCAAATTGGCCATAGTGAATGTGTTTGAATGGAAGTATATGTGGGTGTTTCCCAGTGATGGGTTGCGGTTTTAAGGGTATCCACTGCGTAAAACAAATGCTGAATAAGTTTGCGGTTAATTCCGCTGTGGCGACCCCTGATTAGTAAGGGGTCTAAGCCGAAATGAAAATCAATGAATGGATTAAATTAATTTATTCCTATTTTAATTCAAACTGTATTTATTAGTTTTTCTGTTATGCAAATTCTCTCTTTTATTTCATTAATTTTTCTTTTCGGCTTAATCCCTTTTATTAATCAGGGGTCGCCACAGCAGAATGAACCACCAACTTATCCAGCACATGTTTTACACAGCAGATGCCCTTCCAGCTGCAACCCATCACTGGGAAACATCCACACACTCCCATTCACACACATGCACTACAGACAATTTAGCTTGCACAATTCACCTGTACCACATGTCTTTAGACTTTGGGTGCTCCGGTTTTCCCCGCGAGGAAACCCACGCCAACATGTGGATAACATCCAAACTCCACACAACAATGCCAACCGACCCAGCCGAGGCTCGAACGAGTGACCTTCTTGGTGTGAAGCGATTATGCTACCCACTGCGCCACCATGCTATCCCCTTATTTATTTCAGTAATATAATAATATATTCGTTTTTACAATTTGATAGCTTTTTTATTTATGTTTTTTTCTCCCTCTTTCAACCCCAAATCCTAGTTTTAGACCCCTTGCTTTACAGCACTAAGAACAAAGCTTTTTTTAAACAGTATCCATTTTAAGTAGTTGGCCTTTAATTAATCTGGTATTTATTTTTCTGTATTGATGATGTGACATTTTCTATTTTATTTTACTTTGTTTTATATTATATTCGTGTGTAAATGTCTAATTGTCTGCAAGTCTTTAAATTAAATTGTTGTTAATGCACCAGGAGAAATTCCAGACATATGTATAGCATATGTATAGGTGTATAGCAATAAATCAGTCAATAGATAAAAACTCACAAACTCCTTTTAAGTAAACCAGTCCTTTAGTTTATACTGTAGTTAAAGTGTCTAAAGTCTGATTCTTTCACTTGTTTACCTCACAGATTGGGGTGTTGTGTCTCTGTTTGAGTGGTGATTTGCTCTAAACTTCAGAACGCACTCAATAATCTCCATATAATCTCTTTTACAACTTTTTAACACTTAACCTAAATCATTGGAACTGTATTGCATAAAAAAATGACTAACATTCAACAACAGTTTTTCATTTTATGCTGTTGTATGTTTAATGTATAAAATATTTAATGATCTTGCACCACCAGCCTTCAAACAATGTGTGATTGTCAGCAAGGACAATATAAGACATACTGTACTAGGTCATCAGTTAGAGGTGATTGTTTTGGGACAATCAGTTTTTTCAGTCAGAGCAGCAGAAAGATGGAATAAAATACCAGTGTATATCAGAGAGAGTACCACTTTTAATCATTTTAAAACTGTTCTTAAAAATTAGCTTGAACAAAATCAAATATGTTGCCTCTGATTTGATTTCATTTTATTGACAATGATGTATTGTACTGTAAGTGTATAATGTATAATTTTTTTTACTGTTACATTTTTTTATAACTTGCTGTCCAGGGACTACAGATGTAAATTTGCTTTATAGCTAACTCTGGCACAACATGCCATGTTGTACATTGTCCCTGTATAAATAAATTAAATAATACAAAAATTAAATAAATCCTGGAGTTGAAGCTTTTGCTGAGAGTCAATGAGAGCTGATTCGCTCAATATGAATGAATCTTTGATTGATTCACTGGTTCATTCACATTCTATTCTATTCTATCATTTAGAGAGATCCACATGAGCACAGTTTTGATATGAGGTATTAAAGAGACTTAAAGGGCACCTAGGTTACCCCTTTTTTCAGATTTAATACAAGTCATTTGCGTCTCTAGAATGTGTATATAAAGTTTCAGATCAAAATACCCATCAGATTTTTCATTATACCTTTTACAAGATGCTGTTTTATACTGATTTCCAGCAGGGGGTGGTTTTGTCGTACTGTGCCTAAGCCGAGTTCTGCCCGCCTACTATTTCTACATGCCTCCTCCCTCAGCAGCGTCAGACAACAGACAGACTTAAAGGAAGAAGGTCTCACGTAGCGTTTGTGAGATACTACAGTAAGAACTAACCTTTACTAATCAGTATTGTGAAGTTGCATTGATGAGTGACACACAATATCGTTACAAAGTTAACGCGTGCGCGCGCGCACACACACACACACACACACACAGATACACACGCAGGCAGGCAGACAGACAGAGCGCGCTTAGCTTAGTTAAGGCTAACCTCAAGTACAGTGTGGATATCTGTTATGCTCATGTACAAAATAAACCTGATTTAACTTCCACAAACCGGGATTGAAGCGTCTTCTTTTATAATTGTTCTGACACGCGGCTGTGCTGATGAAGTAAAGCTGAAGTAAAACGCTGTAATTAATTACACACATACTCTGTTTTAAAACACTTAAAACATGTGAAACTTACTCTTAATCACATTTGATGATGATTGCTGATCCTAGCGAACAGAACAGACCTTTTATTCGCCGTTGCTTTGCGTATGTCTGTTTGGTCTTGTTGACATATACACGTGACTAACGGAACATGTTAATGCGCGCAGTTGTCAAATCAATTCGGTGGGCGGGGGGATCGCACACCTACGTAATGGTGCGATCGATTTGAAAACAGCTCCAATTGGCCGACCCTTTTTTGTAGTTAAATTGAAAAAAAAGGACTGGGTGTGTTCATATCACCCCAGTATGACGGTCTATACACTATACCAACACACAGATCTGTCCAAACAGCTTGAAAAGTAGATTTTTTACCATAGGTGCCCTTTAAGATTATTAAGTAGTTTGTTTTTATGATAATAAGGATTCATCAGATCCACTAATATATCTTTTATCTTTCTGTTCTGGCTTCACAGAGATCAAAAAGTTTCTGGAGTTTTGTCAGGTTTGTATCATTTATACTTTTTTTTTTTTTTTTTTTTTTTTTTTTTTTTTTAGATCCAGTGATCTACATGTTGTTTAAATGCATTGTTTAAAATTCATCTCTCACACTAACACCAGAACCCGGGGAAATGTAAGAAATGTCCAATTAGAAGATCACAGCAGAACCAAAACACAACACAAACACAAGATGCTATTCTTCTGAGGACTGAAGATCAGGGGGAAAATCAGCCTGGATCAGTGGAAACACCAACATGATCCACAAGAGAATAAAATTATTCCAGATTTATCTTGCATCACATGCTTGTTTTTTTTTAGCTACTCTTTCTGCCAGATGAAAACAAAAAGAATATTAAACTATTTTTCTGACGGTTTACTCTTATGTTCCTGCATTGCTGAAGTTTGCTGTAATGATGTTATTTGTTTATTAATATGCTGTAAATAGTTTTGTTCCTGATTTTAAAAGGAGCTGTAAATACATGCAGAATGTCACCACACTTTGTAGTATAACGATTTTGTATTAATGTGACATTAATCTTTATTTTAAAGTATGCTGTACACCAACTTCAACAGAGCAAATAAACCAGAAACTGGTATGACAATATGAAAACAGTCTGATAAAACCTTTATATAGTAGATCAGATCATACATTCACTGTGAAGAAAATTATATGACAAAATGTCACAACAATTATTTTTGTTATTTTAACATTTTTTAAATAAGTTAATCAGGTTTCAACTAATTTATTTAAAGCTTTTTTTATTTACAAAGTTTAACTTAATATTTAAGTCAGTTGCATGTTGAGCTGACTGAAAAAAAAATTATTTGATTCAGCAACAAAAAATTAAGGCTTCAAGATTTTAGTTTATTTTAGTAATTACTTTTTACAATGTTGTGCCTACACAGCAAAATATGGGGACCCAAAACAACTCTATGGGTGTTAATTTCAACACTTTGAAAGTGTCTCATGGGGTCCACTCAAAACAGAGTTAAAACAACACTTTCAAAAGGGTTGGCACATTGATACCGAAGTAAGGGTTAATTTTAACTCTGGGCAGAGTTAAAAAATGTAACTATATTTAACACTGCCTGGTGTAATATATTGTTATTTTATTCAACTCTCTTGAGTGTAAATATGGTAAAAAGGTCAAATAGACTGTAAATTACAAAAGAAAAAACATTTTATTTGAAAACATTCACCACTTCAACAATTCATTCAATCTTTAAAATGCAGCAATGTCAAATATGCTTTAAATGTTTTATTAGTACAGACAGTATCAACAAAATATGTATGACCAGTGTTCAAAAAGGCTGTTTCAGTCCTTTGGTCCAAACTTGATGTGTTATCAGAGCAATTTGAAAGTTCAATATATCGTCACTCATAGTTTTCTTCTGAACTCATAGTTTTCTTCTGAAATTACATTTTAAATAACTTGGCGTGCAAATCTTTCACTTCTGGTGTTTCCTTGGTCCTCCATATCAAACACAGCAGTTTGAATGAAGGTATAAATGCTGTAAACAAACTGGAGCTAGGAAATCTCATCAAGCATGTCCTGTGAATGAAGTGCTTCCCAGCCACAGGATGACCTTTTTATCCATGACGATGTAATAGCTGCTGATCGCTCGTCTGGTGGTTCCTGATACACGGATATAGGGTGATGCTCATCTAAGAACTCTTCAGGACTCCAGCATGACTAAGAAAAATGTTTGAAAACAAATTGCAATCAAATTCTATGATATATTTAAAAGAACATTTAAAGTAAATAAAACATTCAAGAAATCTAAACTCACCTTTTGAAAATCTTCATGATGATCCACAACTTGACTCTCCCAGCTGGTTGAGATGACAGGATATGGAAAAGTAGAAAAAACACATACATCACTGTTGGATCTCCAAAAACAATTAGGTTAACCACTATGACTAGAACTGGAAAAACAGGCAGCTGTCTGTCCAGAATCCTGAATCTAACACAACACTTGGAGCAAAATTTAGAGGAGCTTAAAATCTTTTATATCATTTAGTGGTGCTGACTTTATGAAGGTAAATCAGTTGCGTAACTCGAGAGCTTGCAAATGTAAATGTGAGCACTTGTGATAATAATATTTGTATGTGTAGGTTGAAATGTACACTTACAGCTCTGATGTGAACAGCTGAATCCCTCGATTTGCACACAGGCAACAGGACTGAGGTGCAAAAGAATCATTTCCCACGATTATTTTATTATTTAGGGTTTATTTCAACTCTTTTCTGAAGAGATTCTTGTTAAAAATCATTAATTTTGCGGAAATGTACATACCAGTAAAAGAGCAGCAAAGCCAGTTTATTGGCTAAAGCCAGCCAATGAGATGGGGCGTTTCTGTTTGTCAGGACACAGGGCAGCTCACGTTGTTGGAGGCCTCGAGCAATCAGAGGGTAAGTTATGATTTTTAATAATTATCTATATGTTCAATACTGTTAGCTAAGCTAAGGACTGTGCTAGGTGCTTCTCTAGTTTGTTTTTTTTATATATAAGAAACAGTTATGAGTTATGTAGGAGTTGCTTTCTATCATGTTATATCGTTCTAAAGATACAATTCAACCCACATGAAATAAGTTGTAATAGTATTTATAGTAAATAATATTACGTTTTTGAACCATACTAACTATAGTAAACTGTATTATACTGTATATACTGCAGTATCTACAACTTTATTATTTGTTAGTTTTGTACAAAAGGCATGTCATTTATTGTTACTACTATTTCCTTACAACGTGCACTACATTAAGACATTAACAGCCATTAGGGTCTTTATTTTGGTCATATCAAGTGTTTTGAATTTGTCTCTCTAGAAACGAGATCACCAATTGTGCTCAAATTAGTTTATTGTTTAAGCTGTTTATATTGCAGTCTAATAGGACATTGTTGTAATTCATAAATGCTTTATCTGCATTAAATATTGTCATTGTTAGTGTTAAAACAATTAAAATTATTTAGACTTATCACTATACAGTTAGGCAAGTTTAAAATTTATACCTGGACAGTGAATTTAAGACTGTAAATGTGTATTGATCAGTTTATTGGCTTGTTATGAGCATTTGTATAGCACAATTTCAAGGGTTTGTGTGATGAGTGTTGTTTGTTTCTTTGATTCAGCTCTTACAATGATTTATTTTGAAGAATCAACACTTTATAAACATCAGTCCTTGAGAGTAAAGTGCATCTGTTCAGTTGGGAATGCTACACTCTGGCTACATAATTGGCTAATATCCAGAAATGTATATAGGACTATGTTTTCAGAATGAGCCTATGTTGGTTAAACTGGGCCATTAAAGAATTAAGAATAAACCTCAACAGAATTACCTAATATTGCATCATTGAAAACTGTAGATGTAACATATTTTTTATAATTTTTTTCCTACGACGGAAGTCAATGGTACCAAGTTTCCAACATTCTTCAGTATATATTCTTTTGTGCTCAACATAAAAAAACCTCCAACTGGTATTTGACATTAAGCGAGTGACGCGAGCAGCCGAAAACATTTGGATATGTTTGTACAAAAGGCCTTTTGTTCAATGCATGGATATTGTTAATAGAGACGCAATGATCAACCAATTTCACTTTAAACTGCGTTTTAATTTGTCACGGTTAATTAATCGTAAAGGCTTCTCTACACCGCATTTCTGTTACACAGAACAAAACTGCTTCAACTAAACAAAGTTATGCCAAATGTGTGCTAGTTCAAACTTCCAAGCTTGTACTGTATACTGAGACTAATACGCATTCACGTCGGATTAATTATAGCAGCATATATATAGCTATATATATATAAAGCAGCAAGTTGTTTACATATCACGTTAATATTTACATATTAAGTTCGTTATTTCTAATGTAAGAACATATGCCAATATGCACATGCAAACGGAGCAGCATGCTCGCGGCTTTCCAGGTGCACCCAGTAGAAAACATCTCACGCTGTAGCGGTGAGAGTTGTGCGTGGCTTTCAGTGCAATGTACACAAGAGATATGTTAGACGAATTATTATTAAAATGATTTTGTATGTATAAACGCAGATGACAACAACACTTATTTTAAATACTTATCTAATATAAAGCTTAAATTTACATTCGACGTGATAACTGTGAAATTATAATCATTTTACAGACTATATAATCGCACAACCAAAATTTATAACCGTTGCATCCATTATTGTTATGCAGTTCAAAACATAACATATGAATGTGACTGAATGTAGAAAAAGCCTACTTCAGCAATGCACTGCTTTTGTTGTGCACTGGAATACAACATTTGAATATGTTTGTAAAGAAAAGTCAATTGTACAATGCAGTGATGTTATGTAGTTTTAAAATACAACCTATTAACATTTGAATGTAGAAAAAGCCAACGTGGGTGTCTTAAGGAGCAAAAATATAACATATGAGCTCTTATATGCTGTTGTGTCATCTCATATTGCAAGTCATATCTCTCTGGCCCTTCATTTAGGATGCTTTTCATGAACTGGTCCCCATGACAAACTAATTGAATAGCCCTGAATTACATGTTCTGATATTCATATGCATGCTGAAATAGCTATTAGCTACTAGAAGAATTTTAAGAGAAGACAATGACATGTTCAACTGAGAGTTTGAAGAGGTCAAGGGCGATTTATTATGATCACTTCAATGCTCACAATGGAGGAGGACATGGCTCACTTGAAATTCCAAATAAATAATCTTGCTGTCTGGACAAGACTAGATTTATACCAGGAGATTAAGACATTCTTTACCAATTAGCAGCCATAACTCTGGGTGAGGAGACAATGAGAGATTCGCTTAAGAACATGAACTGATTTTTTTTGCTATGCTTAGTGAATCAGGGTTTCTTATTTTTACAATTAATGTGGTTTAATGGTTTTATATCAGTAAAAGGCAGAGCTTACAAATCAGCCGTGCACTTCAACAAACTTTTGTATATTGCTCCAAAATCTCTATGCACTTTTCATCATTAATAGTGTCATCACAGAAGGGCAAATTAAATTTCCCAAGTGGCTCTGACACAACTCCATACCATGACAGATCCTGGCTTTTGGACTTGCTGCTGATAACAGTCTGGATGATCCTTTTGCTTCTTCATGCAAAACATGTCATCCATTTCTCTAAAAAATTACCTGAAATACCAAACCATCATTATACAATAACTTGTCTAATTACCCTAATCTGCTTAGTTAACCTAATTAACCTAGTTAAGCCTTTAAATGTCACTTTAAGCTGCATAGAAGTGACTTCTAAAATATCAAGTCAAATATTATTTACTGTCATCATGGCAAAGACAAAATAAATGAGCTATTAGAAATTAGTTATTAAAACTATTATGTTTAGAAAATTGTTGACAAAATCTTCTCTCTGTTAAACTAAAATTGAGGAAAAAGTAAACAGGGGGCTAATCATTCCAGATATTGTGTTGTCTGTAACTTCTTCCTTGTACTGCAAAGGACCCTGGCAATTAGTGGGCCCAGTTATGTATATGTATTGTTTATAAATATTCTTTTTTTTAAGCCATTATTTTCATTATTGTCTTATTCATTTAAAGCAATCTGGCATTTTTACATTTAAATAGAGGACTACTAAAACA